CCGTCTCGCCGCCACGCGCCGTTGTTGCCGTCGTGCACTGCGCCGGGGCCTGCAGGAAGGGAGAGACGCACCCGCATGGTTAGCCACAAAGCCAACAAAACCCCTAAAAAACACAAAAGAAAAGATAAAACCCAACAAAACCACGGTGTTCGGGCCCCCCGCTGCTATTGCACATGGTGGCATCGCCCCATGTGACAGCCCCCCGGGCACCCCTACCTGCCTGTGCTGTCCCCAAGGGCACGGTGCCAGCCATCCCCACCACTCCTGGTCTGCGGGTCGCAACTCCCCATAGTCCCACTTGAGCCCTGACTCGCCATCTCAAGCCCATCACCACCAATTGATCATCTCTGACACTCTCCACCCCTCCTGCAAACTTTTTCCGAGGTTCCAGCAATGTTGGGAGGGGAGGCAATAGCTTTCACCCCACACTGCCCATTCTCTGCCAGCCTCTCATTACTCCCTGCTTGTCTCCCTTGAGCAGGTCACTGGAAACGTGCTCTGCCCACGAGCCCAGACCATCTCAAGATGAACGAGACGGGATGAGGAGGGTGGTCAAGAAGAGCCAAGCTTGTCCATGTTGGAAGAAGTCCCCTTTGGGGCTCACTTGAGGGTGAAGGGGTGAGGAGCTCGTAGGTCACCATGGGAAAGGACGTGGAGGGTGCCCAACCCAGTGGTTTTCACCAAAATACCCCAAATCGTTGGCCGGGGAGAACACTAGGCTGGGAAAAGTGGTGTGGCACTGGGTGGCATCTGGGGTTGTGCCTGGCTGGAGCAGGGCCGCTCATGAGGAGGTCTGATTGACCTGTGCTTTTGGAACCCTTGCTTCAAAGCCTGACCGGGGCACCGAAACCCATAAACCGTTCCATCTCCCACCAGCAGAACGCTTCCGACATGCTCACGGACACCTCGCAGCACTTCCCGCTTAGCCCCAAATCCCAGCACAGCCGGGAAGCTGCACGCAAGGGCAGGTCTGGAGAGGCGAAGGGCTCCGCGCTGTCTCCGTATCCCACCCCGACATCTACGAGCCCTCCCAAGAGTTTCCCACTCAATGCATCACAAACGAAGCCACCTGGCTACGGAGCCCCAAAGTGAAGATGCCACCAGCCAGGCAGCCAATACAGACAGCACGGCAGAGTGCTGGCCGCGCTGGCCACGAGTAATGCTGGGAAGAGGACCGGACACCTCTCCACCCCTAATGCATCCCAGAAAAAAGGCACTAGAAGCATCCCGGCCGCGAGACCCATTTACACAGCAACGCGGGGGAAGCGGAGCACAGGGACGTCCCCGCTTGATCCCGGCGACAGGGAGAAGAGCGCAGCGGCGATGGAGAGGGAGCGCGGGGGACGGGGCATGCGGAGGGCACAGGCCACCAGACAGGCTGATGGGATGGGAGGGCAGCTGG